CCCTCCGGCTTATTCTTCAAAAGCTTGGTGGCTATAGATATGCGAGATAGCAAGTTGAAAGTATTTGAACCGCCAATTGTAGGAAATTTGACATCCTCTTTTTTATGCAGATTTATAGTGTGTGCAAAATAATTCTTGTTACTCTTGCAACAGGTTCTTCAATTACTCAAGACTCTAAATCTTCGATCCTCCAAGTCTCTGTCCGCAATCCGCAATATCTACCGACTCCCTAATATTGAGACTTTGATTCTTTCTCATTGTTACAAACTGGTTGATGTTTGTGAAACCATTGGAGACCTAATGAATCTTGCTCTATTGGACATGTCAGAGTGTCGAAAGCTCTTCAGGAAACGAGCTTCAACGTCTGGTAGAGGAAGTCCACAACAAATTTCCTTTTCTTTTCCACGTTCTTTAGTTTGGTTGTCCCTTAGAGACTGCACCCTTGATGTTACTGAATATTTTTCTCCGAGTTTCAGCATTCAACCAAAATTGCAGTACCTGGATTTAGGCAGAGGTTGGTTTGAAAGCTTGCCCAGCTACAATCATCTTGAAAATCTTAGGGTCCTTAACTTGACTTTAAGCCATAGACTTAAATGGCTTCTCTGTCTTCCAAGTGCACTTGCAGAATTGTATGTATATGATTGTTACTCACTAGAGAAAATAACTTTTGAATCACATCGGTTCACACTGCATGAGTTTGGCTATGAAAATTGTGCTCAGTTGAGTGAAGTCGAAGACTTCTTTAAATTGGTGCCAGTAGCCAAACTTGATGAAACTGATTTGGGACACTTGAAGTGGCTAAAAAAATATCAACATCATGAGGTGTTCCTGGTTGGTGATTATCATATCATCGAAAACAAAAGACAAAAGATCCAGGTTCTCTATTTTTTTTTCTGAATCACATTTATAAGCACACACAAGCACATCGACATGCCACCTGAACTAATTATATATGTGTGACTGAACCCTATTGTTTGTGGCACAGATGTTGTATGAATTTGGTATCTTGAGCACGTGCCTGCCAGACATAAAGGATCCAAACATAACACCTGAGTATATATCAGAATCAACATCTCTGTCCTTTGAGGTGCCTTCATCTCCCGTGGATAGGATGCTCATAGGATTAAATCTAACTTTCAAGTTTACAATATCATCAGGTCAAGAATGTGCATGGTTTGCTAAAATCCGTACCAACAATGGTGTTGATTTGATGTACAATCCCAAAGTCTTTGGCGATCCTGGAGATGAGGGAGCTGGCATATGGTTAAGTTATTGGCCAATAGGAAGCAAGTTATTAGTGGGAGATGAAGTTAATGTGTCTGTCATTGTAATGAGTGGTTTCTTGAAGGTACATGAGTGTGGTGCAAGCCTTGTGTATGCAGATGCTGATGAAACCATGAAAATTAACATGCCATGGATAGAAACTCTTGGAGGGGATTTGTCTGCATTTAAACTAATGACAGGAGCGTACTATCTTTGTCGACGTGATTTTTTCATGTTAATGGAGGTTGGCATATTGACACCAGGTTGGCTCAGTATTTTAGTCGGTGATACCATTGATGATAGAGGTATGTTATTCTTGTCAAGCTAATTATGAGTGTTAGCAATTGAATTTAATCTCCAAATTCTCATATCACATATTGCTACAGATGTACGAGGATGGAGAAAGACAGGTCGACCTAAGCCACCATTTAACCCATCACAAACAGAGTTGTACCCATCATTTAACCCACCACGAATAGATTCGCCACGTCCATCACTTACAGAATCGGAAATCTCATTCTTAGAATTCGAGATGATGCAGAGGCGCATTGAGAGACTACGATTTGGGGCAGAGACAAGGAGTTGGGGTCGTGGGGCCCAACAAAATAAATTCTAGAAAGCCTTTTTTTTTAACTTATAGTTTTTATCTATATGTGATTGGGCCCCAAAAAAATAAACATGAAGTTTCCTTTTGCCAAGTCCTAGCCCAACCCTTAATTCATTTAGCCTTCCTAATTCCACCGGTCCATCACTTCCACGACTTCACCTTTATTCATCGCTTCTTGTACATCATTGATCGCCACTGCTTCTTCCTGCTTCCTGTACATTGCCACTGCTCCCTCCCACTTCCCTCTTCCTCTACCTTCGGCCTTCCTGCTTGCTTCCGGGCACCAACTTCTTGCTTGCTTGCACTGCCACTGCTTGTTTCCTCCGGCTGTAACTACTCTACTGCTACTCCAAATTGGGTAAAAATCTAAACTTTTGATTTCCAATCGTTAATTTTTTTAATGACTTTGATTTTGTAGTATGCTTCATAATCGGTGATTTGGTGAATGCTTATGTTTGGTTAATTTTGCAATTTTGTAGGCAAATTGAAATGTTAGGTTAATTTTGCTATTTTGTACGCAAATAGAAATGTTACTATTGATAGAGATAAACCATTGATTTTTATTTTGTTATTGCTATTGCTAAAAAATGGAAAGACTTTTTAAAAGGAAAGCATCAACACCTGAATCGAGCTCTCTGCTCCTTCGATTCCCTACGAAATTGATTTGAACGATATTTCTTGGGATCCAGCYGATAGGAAAAAGATTTCGGAATATTATCCTAATTAAAGGGATGAAATAAGGAGAAAATACTTGATTAGAGGACCTTGTCAACCACAGGGTCATGCATTTCCAAAAAAAAATTGTCGGGAGTAAATGAAGACGTTTTTGTCCAGCTTGGTTTGATCTACGATATTGGTTGGAGTATAATGTAAAAACGGATAGAGATTTTTGTTTGTGTTGTTATTTGTTTAAAGATCATTACGTAGGACAATGTTGGGAGTGATGCTTTTATAACATATGACTTTAATAGTTGGAATAAAACAGAAAGACTTGGTCTTCATGTCGGTGATATTAATAGTTTTCACAATATAACACTTAAGAAATGTGAGGATCTAATGAGCCAAGATCGATCTATTGTTGTTGCCTCTCATAAGAAAACTAAGAAGGAGAAGAATGAGCACCGAATACGATTAAATGCTTCAATTAAGGTATTAAAGCTTTTGAAGAAAATGTATTATTCTTGTGAAGCAAATGGTATTAAATCTTTGGATATGGAAGACCGTTATTTAAAAAACGGAAGACAAAGGACCAACATCACCAATCGTCATTATTACAAGTTTGATATTTTCAACACTGTTGTGGACATGCAAATTCAAGAGTTTGGGGATCGATTTAGTGAGGTAAKCACTGAATTGCTTAAAAATATAGCAGCTTTGAGTCCATGTGATTTATTTTCACAGTTTAATGTATCAGATTTATTGAAGTTGAGTGAGCTGTATTCTCCAGATTTTAGTCGTATGGAAAGGATCGCTCTTGAGAAACAACTTAACATGTACTATTTGATTGTGCATCAAGATAAAAGATTTGCCGATTTGAGTGGTATTGCCGAGCTCGCTAGATTGCTAGTGGAAACAAAAAAACATACAACTTATCCTCTATTATATCGGTTATTGAAGTTAGCTTTGGTTTTGCCAGTTGCTACCACAACAGTCGAAAGATGTTTTTCTGCTATGAAGATTGTGAAGTCAGATTTTCGCAACAAAATCGGTGATGAATTTTTGAATGCTACAATGATATATACTATAAAAAAGAAGCACTTTTCATAGTTTCAAATGATGATGTAATTAGTCAATTCCAAAAGACGAAGAGTCGTAAGACACAATTGTAAGAGGTAATTTTTTATCATTTTGGTATGAAATTGAAGTTAATTATTATTTTATCTTATATTATGCCCCCTACGATATATTTTTCTGCATCCGCCACTCCCTGACTTAGGCATTCAGRCTAACATGTGTCTCCTGTCATCTCTGCTTGTTCGGGAGAGGGGATGAGGAAATTATTCAAAAATGATTTTTTTTTCACTCTCCACTATTACTTTGGAGTAGCCTAATCACTACAGCTCTCTATAATTTTCATTACTCGTATAGGAAGGAGTCTCTTTTTTTTTGGTGGTTTTGGGGGGGGGGGGATCATTAGTTGTGTTTGGACATTGATAGTAAGATAGTTGTGTGCAATCTTATTATTATGCCGACCACCAGGCCGTGAGGCTTTCCCATGCATGTAGATGCATTGTCGAAGGTTCTGAGACGATAATATGCTCTGTATTTTTTTTTTAAACTTTTGGCATGAATTGGTTATAAGAACAAGATATGATGTGAGGGCCTGTATATATATATATATATATATATTTTGTTGCATTTGTGGGGATAACTATGATGTTGCATGTAAATAGGAGCATAATTTGTATTTAGTTTGATAATACAATTCTCATTGCTCTCCATCTTCACAAACTCTTGGTGCTACCAATCTGCCACTAATTCAATGTACTATCTATTTCTATTTATTATTTAGTCGTCATGAAAATGCTTTATAATTGATTAAAAGTACTATTTCCTTTTTTCGAAATTGATATTGTCATTAATTTTTCCAGGGAAGACGATGAGACAACTGTTACCAAAGGGGTTATTAGTACATCTTGTAAAACTATACGAATATATCCAGCATTGAGCAATATTGTATCTGCATTATAATTTCATACATAAAATAGATGAGCTAGGTTCAAATAAGAAAGGTAAAAATGTTAATAACGTATGAATAAATGATTCATATGTGAATCATTGGTAAAAGAGAATATACGTGGGTTCACACAGCCTATGAATAATTGATAAAAAGCTAAGTAGTTAATTAACTACAAAACTAAATACTATCAGCGACGGAAAAATTATAGGTAAAGAGAATATATGTGGGTTCACACTGTCTATGTGTTATATACACATATAACACATACACATGTATACATATAACACATAAAAATGAGAATGGATTTTGGTCGTTCCCTTGCAAATTCCTCATTGATCAACGACGGAATCACAAAAAATCCATTTCCTCGCTAATTCATCACTGATCAGTGAGGGATTTGCTAGGGAAAGACCAAATCCACTCTATCGCTAATCCTTCGCTGATCAACGACAGATTAGCGAGGAAAGTCCAAAAATCCATTATCTCGTTAATTTGTCGCTGATCAGCAAGGGATTAGCGATAAAATGGATTTTTTGTTGTTCCCTCGCAAATCCTTCCCTGATTAGCGAGGGATTTTCGGGTTCAAACGAGAACCTCTATGATTTATGAAAACGCAAGAACAACCAAATAACCTCATATTGTGATAAATAAATAAAATTAAAAGATTTTTAAAATTGAAATTGAAATTTAAAAAGATTCAAAAAATATTAAAATTAAAAGGGTAATAATGGAAATGATATCAT